ATTCCGATTTGTGTGAAACCAGCATGAATGGAAAGTGTGAAAAGCAGGTTTATTTGTGATTAGCATGTTAGAATATCACGGTGGGAACCTCAAAAGTATTTTGAACCAGTTTGACTCACTGGGCCTGTAAAAAAAGTAATATGATTTTGAATGAGAGCTCAGACTTTGAACTGTTGATGTAGATTTCTGTTGAACTTATATAAACCAGTCATATGCCCACTTTCAGATGCCATGGTTTCAGTCCAGTACTTTCGAGCAGGCAATCGTGTGGAGTGGGGGTCTCTGACCCTGACCTTCATCATTGTACCCTCGCTGGTGATGCAGGTGTTCAGCACCAGGTGGTTTATGGCTGATGACAACATGGGTGGGTGGATCAGCTGGCTCATCCATTGTATTCAGATGGGGCCTATCTACAGGTGAGCCACTCATTCTCACGGCGAATTTAGGAAGTATTGATCACACTAAAACTGTTAACAGTGGTAACAGTCAATGCAGCAAATAAAATCCACATACAACTACATGTATATACTAGTATAGAGTGGGACATGGACCAGTCCAGGTTAAGTGCAGGTACTCTCACCTCTCGAATAAAAGTACCCCCTGGAATAAAAGTACCCCCCGGACAAATCTTCAAAATGTAATAAAAGTACCCCCTGGAATAAAAGTACCCCCCGGAAAATTTAAAAATTGACATGTAAGCCAAATTGTTTATGCTACTAAAATGTGTTCCCACGGTGTATGTATCCCAAATAAACATGACTCTGGAATAAAAGTACCCCCGACAAATCTTCAAAACCTAAAAAATATACCCGCCCAGAATAAACATACCCTCAGGAAAATTACCAAATTATCAGCCTGCATTCTTACAAGTTATTGAAAAGTACATGTACATGGGGTATATGTCACGTACAGTCTAATCTATATCTTAGTACATTAGCCATCTATATTCTAACTCGAGATCTGACTCTAAGTTCACACAATTTGTTATCATTGCATTGCATGCATACATTGAGCAGGAACAATGCTATCAAGTTTTTGAAATAAGAGTCCTTGATTTTTTAAGCTTAATAATTATCAGAAAGATTACATTAATAGAGTTTGAAGTTGAACAGAAATTTACAATATGCTGAATAAATGCTCTATACAAATTTGCACTAATGTGTAAAAGTTGTAAAACCCATAGGCCATATAGATATATATATATACAGGGATCTCCCCAGAAATTCATAGCAGGGTGGAGGAGGGTGCGAAGCTATTGCATTTTGTCGTTTCCAAACACAAATGGAGGTCATTTCCTGCAAATTCAGTTCTACATTTTCTGTACAACTGCAGATGTATAAGGCAGGAGAAAGGTTCAAGATCTGTACTTAATTACCCTCTTTATGTTTAAAAAAAATTCTATTAGCATCCTTAATTTTGAAAAAATTGGGCATAGGTTACCCGGATGACCCCTAACCGGGGGCCAACGGTGCTTCCACGAGTTCAACAAGTGAAAAATACATGATACAAAATGTACATGTATTTACTACCTGGAACTTGGAGCAAGTTTTCCAAAGTGTTACTGACATTAATATATTAAAAAATAAACCAAATCCTATTTCGGTTTAGTTTTTAATATATCAACATTAACATATTACTGACATTAATATATTAAAAACTAAACCAAATCCTATTTCCCAAACAAATCACATATTGACAAAGCTAAACAAATGAATCATGTCTATAAACTCCACTCAAAAACAATTTTTGAGAGACACTCGGGTCGCGGTACTAAGCGTGATAATCTCTAATATCTCATCTGATTCTCCCAATGTAAGAGGTAAGGGACTTCACAATCACAGCATCCAACCGCACATTCATAGAAACAACATTACATTTTAACACAAAAAAAACAATAAATTCGGAAAATTTCTCAATAATGTTTGAAAATTAACCTTATAAAAATATTAGTTAATTTTTTATTTCAGTTGTAGCCGAAAAAATTTTTTTCATGCGTTTAAAGTTTCGTTTTAGCACATTGTAATATGTACTTTGTACATGTATCTTGTACATTTGGATGCAGTCTTGACCTTTAACCACTGTTATTGTGAAACACTGTCGGCCATTTTGGCAGTCTCGCCGTGGATTTTCGAGCCGTTTTTCGAGCAAATTTCAACCGTTTTAAACATTTTACGGCCTCAAAACTCATATAACGAGGAAAGCAAGCTGTAGTTGTTATTTTCATGCGTAACATTTCTTCTGGGGATGGATTATTTTTCCGCCGAGCTGCCGAAAACTAGCGTCATGCCTCAACCATGTGGTCGGGCGCGGCCGGCCGGCGGGAGTATCGGTGAGCTTTCACGATGTAAACAAAGACATTCGGAGTTGTTCACATGAAAATTTTGTTGTGAAACGCCGGCGGGGTGTCAAATTTTCTACCAATAACGAAGTTTTCTCTGCGGCGTCATGGCGAGATCGACAATTCATCGTCAATTCACAAGATTGTGCCGGCAATGGAATGAATAGTGGCCCGATTAGCGCTCGATCCACGCCGCCTGGCCGAAGAAAATTGGAATGACGAGCACATTTATCGGGGATAAAATCCCCAATTTTAAAAATTATCGGGGAAATGTTGGAATAAAATCCCTAATTTTGAAAATCTATGTTCAAACTTTTATGTTCAGGACCGAAAATTTGTCCTGAACTTGGTTTGATTCTGAAAAAAAATAATAAACGTACCGTCTAAAATAAGAACGTACCGGGCGGATTTCGAGGCGAAAAAAAATAAACGTACCGGTACGTTTAATAGAGAGCTGAGAGTACTAGGCATTGGAAATACCGCTTTCAAACCCTGCCAACAGTTAGAATAAAGTCTTCATCAGCATGTGGTCTCTGCCTCGCCACAGGTATGTCCAGGCCCTACAGACTGGCTGGGAGGCCAGGAAGACCAACGATCCCATAGATTTTGAGCGTCTGTACCAGCAGCAGAGTGACGTGTGCATGCTGCGGCTGTTTGAGTCCTTCATGGAGTCAGCCCCACAGCTGATACTGCAGCTCTACATCATGCTTAAATTGGGAAATGCCAACTTTCTTACTGGTTTGTACAATCTTCTCTCCCGGGCTAGGGTGGCACTGGCACAGGCAGGGCATTCCACTTGGGAATGGTATGAGGAAAAATGAGTACAAACTGCCAATTCTAGAAAATGAAAGGAACTTGTAAAGGATTGCAATTCAACAGTGTACATGTTAATCCTTCTTTGTGTATAACTTTATATTAAGTTCAATTATATGACACAGTGTCATGTAATTTGTCATGTCATGTAAACTGAACATGCCTGATGATGACTTGATTCCCCAGGTACCTCAGCATGTGTGTCGCTGATCTCCCTGTCCTGGGCCATCGCTGCCTACAGTAAGGCCATGAGACAAGTCAGGAAGGACAAGAAGAAGATCACGTGGGGAGGGCTGTTCCTACAGACAGTGTGGCGTATCGGCATGGTGTCATCTCGGGTACTGGCACTGGCCATGTTCGCATCAGTATACAAGGAGTGGATCTGTGTTGTCATTGGTATGTACAGTTCCACTGTCACTAGTTCAGCTGCTCAGTGGTCGAAATACTTTTTTTCAGTACTCTGCAATATTGCAGAAGAGTCAAAATTTTGTTCTGCAAATTGGAAATACTTTCTGCAAATACACAAGCCTCCATATTACAACCTTTCTGCAAATACACAAGCCTCCATACTACAACCTTCTCAAACCAATAATTCCTTTTTTGCATCATATATAGCTTTGTAAATCTGTACAGTAGCATTACTGGACTGCAGGAGAATTTCAGGTTTATAAGCATAAACTATGGATTGATATGCAAATTAGTGAAGACAATTTTTTGGAAGTCCAAAAGAAAACAAAAGTTAGACAAGTCAAGACAAGGATGATGCAAATTAGTGAAGAAGTTCCTGTTGTTTCAGAACAGTCTGTCCCTGGGGCCTGGGAGTTTTAGTTTGCTAAATTGAAAACTAATGAATCTGGAGCCTATTTTTCCTTCTGCAAAATTGCAGATTGTATAATTTTTTCTTCTGCAATCTTGAAAATCTATCTGCAGATTGCAGACTGCAGGCAGGTATTTCGGACACTGCTGCTGCAATATTTTACTATATATATATATATACATATATACATATATATATATATAGTCATATATTTTTAGTCATGGTATTCTAGACTATTTTGTACTTGTTAGTCTTCAAAGGGTGCAGATTAAATTCATAGTTGGTGCTAATTATAAAAGAGTAACACAATAACTTGTATACACCACACTCATGTACATGTATATTTGTATGTCCCCTCCACAGGCGTTCACTGGCTGTTGATGACCATTTGGGTTTGTGTGCAGAAGACAGATTTCTGTGACACCTGGTGGGAGGAGAGGCTGTTCAATGCTGTAGTAGGGGTCATCTACTGCTTCTGTTTCTTCAACATAAAGGTAAGGCCAGTAGACACAACTCCTACAAAATATGATCTGGGAAGCCAATTTTTGAAGTCAAGCACATTTGAATGAAGTATTTACTACTGTAACAATACTAACTTATTATATTGTTATTAACTTCCAGGAGGGTCGGACCAGGAGACATATTGTAGGCTTCTACACAATCATGTTGCTGGAGAACTCAGCTCTGATGGCAGCATGGTACCCCTTCAGGAAGCTGGGTGTCTGGTACAACATCCCTGTCATGATGGCTGTGTGGGGAGGCTTCCTCATTGGTACATCACCTTCCTTGTTGGCTTTGTTGTATAAATTTCACACTATTCAACACCCTATCCTAGGGACGTCCCCATCCCCAAGTTGTCCTATCCAAGTTTTGCTTTTTTAGCCTGGGTACCATCCTGGATAGTTTAGGATGGTACCCAGGCTATTTACTTTTGGCATGATGAAGTCATTGTTGTCATCCAACGTGTAACAAAATACATTTCATTCTGATGGATTTTTTTCTCCCATACTACAGGGGCAATCACTATGACCATGTACTATAACTACTGCCACCCCAACCGTGATGGCAGCATACCCGGCTGCCCTACACCAGGCCAGTACATCAAGGCTGCCTTCGGCTTCCACAGAGCCCATAGTGACGACACTGAACACGACGCCACAGATCTCCACATAGAGGAGCTGGATGACATAGAAATACTTCCCAGGTCACGACCTGCCTCCTGCCCACCCAGCAGAACCCCGAGTGTGCAGGTGAAGACACCTGGAACACCTGGCATTGTGGCAGGAGCGCCAAGTGTTCTGGAAGGTTCCCTAGCAACACCAGATCTTCACAGCTCCCTGCTTAAAGCTGTCATGTCAGTGTTAGATGTTTCTACTACTACTGAAGTAGACGAAAGGTTGCCCCCAGCCAAATCTTGTCCTGATATATATAGTGAGCAGCAACGCTTGTCAGAAGTGTTGAGTGCACTACGAAATGATTCTTTAAAGTCTTCCTCCCAAGAAGTGCTTTCTGCTGGGGCCGGGGTCCCAGACAAGGGGACCTGTAACCCGTCATTTACAAAGTCTGAGGAGGTATTAAGTGAGTGGGGGAAGACCAGGGATTCCTCTCCGCCTAGAATCATCATCACTCCCTGTAGTCCCACTGACAATAGCAACATAGGAAGGCCAGACCCCAAGGTCGTCGTACACAGGATGAATTTTAAAGACAAAGGCAGGAATGGAAGGCAAGGTGTAAGAATGGGAACTGCCACATATCTTAAGAAACCCTTGGTGGGCAGGAGGTATATTCCTGTAGAGTCAAGACTGGGTGAGGATGATCCTGGTGGTACAGTGACAAAATCACAGAATAGTGTAATGCCATATAGTGTTGAAGTTGGTGGTTCCCCAGGGTTAAGGAAGAGGGAGGGACACAGTCCTGCTAACATGCCAGTGACGGTTAGGTTGGGGATAGGGTCACCCAGGATTGAAAAAAGAGGCCAGGGAGTTGCCAAGGAAACATGGGAGGAGATATACCTGACTCCCAAAGCTGGATCTGGGAAGGCAAAGAAGGCCCTAGAGTTTGCTGAGGACAGTGCCCCTAGCTCTGTCTCAAACACAGTCCAGAAACAAAGCACAATCAAAGGTACTACGAAACCAAGCAGTGTTATCACTGACAGCTTACCATGTGAGAAACAAAATGATCCAACATGTAGTAAAATAGTATCATCAGAATCCAAAAATGAGCAAATGCATTTACAGAAATGGCAGCTTTCCATGAAAAATGAAAGCGACAAAGCAAGGAAGGATGCTAAAGACAATCATGAAAACTCAGAGCATGCCAAAGTACTTGAGCAAGTTGATAAGACTACTGGTCCTTCTGAAGCCAGTGAATCTCATGATCGCAACAAAGTGGGGACTTTGAAACAAATCAAGAAACATTCTCCACAAAAAAAGAATACAAAGAAAGGAAACAAAGAAAACCATTCACCAAAGCCCCAGACAGCTACAGCAATCCTTACAGCCATTGAAACTCCATCAGTTCACACTAGCGATAGGACAATGGAACTGGAAGCAAAGGACAATGGAATTAATGCACCTTCCATAAGCACAAGTGACACAAAAATTGAAAAGAAGCTTCCAGTAAATTCTGAAATGGTCTTCCCAAAACTAAGGCACTCCCCATCTATGTCCAGGAAGTCCCTTTCCAAAATCCCATCCAATGCTGTTTCGGCCAAAGTCACACAATTCCGTACAATGACTCCCCCAGATAGTCCTGGGAACTCCTCACCCATTCCAAACAAGCTTGACACCAAACGTTCCAATCCAAAGAAGGAGAAAGGTAGAAAGTCCCTGGCAAATATACCAAAGAACACGGTTGCAGAGAAGCTGAATAAGTTTGGGACCCCAGAGAAAGATGACAGAAATATGAATCAAACGCTCAGTTCAACCAAGTTTGGGCAGGCAGAATTACAGACTGGTGTATCGTCAGTCTGTCAGAAGGAAGATGAGAAACCAACGGTTGGGCTTAAGGGGTTAAAACCAGTCAGGAAGTCCCTAGCAAATATTCCCAGAAATGCAGTTGGAAGCAGGGTTTCTAAGTTTGACTCCAATGTGTGAACCATCCAATTTTTACACAATCATGTAAGATACCAAAGATATCTTGCCATGCCTACATGTACATTGCTGAAAATGAAGAATTGGAAGAATACCTGTTACAATGAAATATTAAGGGACTGCAGGCAGGGTGTAATGGTACTAGAAAAGTCCCCTTTGACAGACAAGTTTGAACAGAGCTAACTTAATGATATGATCAATGGATGTGAAGATAATACCTTCTCAAAATGTACATTGTAATATACTTTTTACTCTATATATGCAAATTGAATTATATGTACATTCATCAGCATATGCAAACTTGAGAAGGTTGAAATTTCAATTATGATCTATGGTCTGTATTTTGACTTTACTGGAAGATATATCTCCATATAGTCTATAAAAGAAGACCAACTACAAATGAACTTAGATAAACTGGCAGGTTTTATATGCAGCATAGAATGTGCAACTGTATTGAGCCATTGATTTAAGAAGTTACACAGAAGCACATTACAAATGTAGGGTTTTAACTCATTAACTTGTACAATATGTTATACAGCATTTATATGTAATACTATATAGAACGATATTGAAACAAGTTTACACTTGGAGCTGAACATTACAAATTAAGGATTTTAACTCACAAATTTGTACAGTATCTTATATATTTGTATGTATCTCTATAGAATGGTATTGATAGAAGTTTACACATAAAAGGAGCTGAACAGTGTAATGTTTAGAGGAAATAAGTTACCCCGGTATGTGTTTTTATAAGCCTCGAGCAAGGAATGTATTTTAGGAGGTAAATTTGCTAAGAAGCTCGATCTTTTATTACATGTAGCTGAGTACTATATTCAGACAATCATGATGATGGCTGCACTAGTGGTGTTTTATGACAATGTCACTGTGTAGCAATATGTTGCAAGTAATACTGTTAAGTATAAATCATACTATGTAAATTATATTTTTTACTATCCCACTAAATGCTTCACACCGGTAATAATACTGCCATGCCTTAGAAGATATGTGTGGCTTGTCTGTCAAACTTACTACAATATTTGTATTGCTGATTGATGAAAAGTAATATACCAAAGTAACAGTTACTGAAGAATCTGCCAGTGGATGTATTTTCAAAATCTGTAGATCTAACTGTTTTATATTTGTGGTGCTTTGTACATTCACCTGACATGTGTCTTTGAATCATGAAGGAAATTTGTGGTAGAAATACAGCATGAAGGACATGTTTGTCTGGAAGCCTAAGGAATGCAGTGATGGCAGTGTATTGATGCAGTGCATGCAAGAAATTTATTCTTATTGCCTCTCTAAAGAAACTGTGTGATGTCTGAGTTTGGTGATTCATGTATACATGTATAGGATATGAATACATATTTTAAAGTCATGGCAAATGTGACAAAGCTGGACGATTTGTTTTATCTCATTTTCTACTCACTGTATCTAATACAAAAATACCACAGGAAATGCATGTTTTTCTTTGTCATTTTATTTGCACCCAGAAAGCAAATAGAATAGCCTGTCTGTTGGTACCTTACATGTAGTTAGGTATACATATTTTTGTACTTGCTAAAAATAAGAGCTGGTTCATATTATTTTTTACAACATCCAAACACAGTCCATCACCACTTCAGTAAATTATGTAAATGATGTATTTACAATGTAGCATATTAGTTTGCATATAAACCATATGTGTATGAAGAGGGTACAATATCACTTATACATGTAGAATAACCAATATTATATTTTTACAATTACTGGGAGGGGGTGTACAATACAAATGTATAAGCCCTAGGCCACACCAATTTAATTTCTTGGTTAACGGATTTTTCTAGAAAAACTAATGGAGCCCGCGGGCCTAGACATCCTATTATGGCCCAAAATGGTACGATAGGAGCCATAAAGTCAACACACCAGGCTAGTTCAAATTTAAACAATGAATTTTGAACTTTTAATGATACCACTGCATTGAAAGATGGAATAACTAACAACTAGGAAGAAAAGGATTGTTTTCAACTGTTCAGGGCATAATATGAGCATTTTGCAGTTGATTCTGAACCAGAATCTTTTTTTTTTGGCAAATCAGAAAAAAATGAGAACCAAGAAATTAAATTGGTGTGGCCTTAGGTTAAAGTTATCTGAAATTAAATTTGGTCAAACACTTAATGATAAAATAGATTGAAAGAATGTCCCCATGCCTAGCACCACAAGATTATGTCTGCCACTTAACAAGGCAAAATTACCATCATCTATGGAATGGCATGTCAACTTTTATTAGTTAATACAGTATATGCTTCCCACCATAGTTCAACGTAAAAGACAAAAGATGTTAGAGATTACTTTGCAACTTGGTACAATATACATGTAGAGCGACATGCATTTTCAGAATACACAACTTACACATGATTCAAACATCCATTCAATTATTTAACATTTTAGTAATAACCCAGCAACAATGCATCCTACTCCATGTTTAATATTATGAATAGAAACTTACTTTTAAAACTTAAAGAAAGCATGAATAATTTAACTCAGAATTGAATGACCACAACCATTGCTCCTTTGCACAACACAAATCCTTGTAAAATATCAGTCACTGATGTCAGCAGTTTTAGTGATTGGTCCTTCCATTCATTCCCAGCTCTCCCAATCGTCATCCAAGTCTCCAGTGTCCTGAAACAAGGTCAACATTGAAAATGAGATGACATGTTTGAGTTTGGAAGGAGGACTATACTGAAACTTTGGGGTAAATTTTGTTAGTACAATTTGAGTGGTACAAATCATTGATGTCTATCATTCTAATCCATACATTACCTTCCCATCTTTTTCAAGAGCAGCTTGAGCAATCCTCATTTCTTCCTCTGTTAGGTCCAGGTCAAAGTCCTTTTCCCAATCATCACTCAGGCTCTCTGAGGAATCTATAACAAATATAGGCATACAAGTAAAGTTTCATGACCATCTTACCGGTACTTGTATGGGACAAATGTAGTTTAGAATATGGGCAGGATTGCCAAGATGGACCCTTTTCAGGTATCGAAATACCTTTATTTTCTCACTGTGCATCCTAAGCAAAAACTTGCATTTGGTTTCCCATCAATATTTCAGCTTGCTGTCCACATCTACTGTTTCTTTAAGAAGGGAAGCCATAAGCTGGGCCATCTGTAAAGGTATCGCTCACATGTTGGCCAAGACAGGAAGAAGTGTACATATTTCAGAAGCTGGGCCACTACAAACTTTAAAAAGGTCGCTTTGTATGCAAAAAAATCATGATAATTTGTGTGCCGGGCAACCTGGCATCTCCAGTAAGGTTCACACAGAAAACATGACTTGCTGGTGAGAGCGGTTATTTCAAACCCTGTTTTCTCACCTTTGGCCCCACTGCTGCCACCAGCAGAAGCTGGGGATGCACGATCCATCTCCACTGTTTTTGTTTCTGCCAGCAGTTCATGCACTTCTTTCACATCTTCCTTCTTACTCTCAGCTGCAGGCACTTGTGGTTCAGCTTCTGGACCCTTTTCCTCTACCTTCTCTGTAGGTATCCTGACTTGGGCTTCAACTTGTACAGCAAGACTATCTACGATAGTTTCTTCTGCGTTTGCTTCCACAACCTGGTCTGATCCCACTGTGTCCAAAGATTGCTGTTGTTTTGGCTCAGTTCTTTCAGCAATACCTGTCTTATCTTCAGAGTCTTCTTTGTCTAGACTTTCTTGGGTAACTGTGGAAACTTGAACCGCTGGAGCTTTGTCAGATTTCTCAGCCAGAGAGGTTTGTTGTACTTGCACTTCAGTCTTTGCACTTTCTGTTTCTCTTGTGTCTTCGATGTCCGGTCTGTCGACAAGCACGACATCAGAAGAATCTGACGATACGGGACTACTCCTTTTGGCTGATTCTTCCACATGCACTGTCGAAGCTTCATCAGATGACACTGAGGCTTCAGAGGATGGTTTTTCCAACATGACAAGTTCAGAAGATCCCTCAGATGACACAGCACTTGAACTTTGCTCTTCCTCTGGTATGACAAGCTCTGCTTCCCTTGGGGCTGATTCCTCATTTTGCTCTTCTTTTTGACCTAAATGAACAACATGCAAGAGCCAATAATGGTGAGATCTGTATGTTAATGTACAATATCATTCATCTGTGAACTTGCATCTGAATGAAGAATGGAGTGAACTTTTTAAGGTAAGCTGGTATTTATAACTTTGATACATGTATATTCCTGCTCATGGGATTCTTGTATGTCAGAGAAAAGTTGAACATTTACTGATGTAACTGGATCTCAACATGACAATGTTGTGTACCTTGTTGAGTTGCTATAGCCCCTTCACTGATAGCAGGCAGGGTGGAGGCATCAGGAGTCTCCCAGCCCCACTCATCCTCATCTGAAAAGTAGGAAAAATCTCTCACTTAAGTTTGATTAGGCTCACAGCAATCTAGGTATAACGTGTACACGCTTTTCAGTCACAACAAAGGAAATCAGAATATTTAAAATGTATTTACATTGTATCTTTACAACCAATTATGTCTTGCTTTGTTCTAAATCATAACCACTCACCATCTTCCCATCCAAGGTCATCACTGGGGCTGGTGTTGTCAGCACGTTCCATCAGAGCCGCTCGGCGGGCCTCATCCTGGATTACACATGCAGAAGTGCCTTAATCAGTTAAAATCCCATGTTCCTCTCGCGCCTCAGTCAACATAAAAAAACTCACTCATGGATGCTATCTGCAACATCTTTATAGAATATATATCCAGTTGTTTAATTTGGTATTATGTAATGGCCATAGTGATATGCAACTATCATAACTCAGACTACTTCTCAGCAAGTTTCCTTTTTTTTATGTCAGTTTGACTGGCACTTGGATCTTAAATCTAGCATATTTGTGGAGATTGTAAAAAGTTTGTAGGGAAGACATCTCACCTGCTGCAGTTGGTGTAGCTTGTAAAAATACCTCTGCCAGAACTCGGAGTGAGAAACAGCTGATGGGACCTGGGAAAAAGAAGCATGTCAAATCTAAATCATATCAAGGCTTGTCTTAAAACAAAATAACGCTTGGGTACAAAATAATACTGGGGTACATGGATCCAAGAATTGGCTGCACTTTACACCTATTTCCTCACTTGGTGAAAATGACTACTTGGTGAGAGTGGTTCAAATCTTACAGTCCAGTCTTATGCAGCTTGTACGTACTATACAAAACTGGTGTGTTACGCCTAAAGGTGGTTTAACAGTTAGCAAAGAATTACCGGTACTCACCAAACGTGTGTACAGAGCTCTGACTTCATTTTTAGCCACCAATAAGTCAGATATGTCGCCTTTGATTCCTTCCAGGTCAAAGGTCTCCAGCCACTTGATATACAGGTCTTGAGGGCCTAAATATCAGCACAAACAAAGTCAGGGCCAACAATCTGTAATGCTGTGTTCAGCCAGGTGTGTTGCTGTTGACACTGGTGTTTGTTTTTGCTACAATGGCTTGAAATATTTTTTTCTGCATACCTGATTAAAAGATTGAAAATTACTAGCACCTGATAAATTTTACCTGCACAACTCAAAATGGACTCCTTTAAGAGTAAAAGATATCCAGAAACTGAAGAGTTGCATGTTATACCTACCATCTGGTTCATTGCAGTAGGTTCCAGGATCAATCTGCATGTTGTGTAGCCGAGCCTGTATACAAATAAAAGCTGATTTTTGTTTCATCATAACAGCAGTGCAGACAGAAAACAACAGGACATGAAAACAAACACACAGATGATAACGTTTCAGCATTGAAATGTAGGAAATCAAATTTTCTCAACACTGATTTTTTTAATTACACAGTTTTAATTACACATTTGAAACATTTCTATACTCAAGCTTGAAATGTGAACAATCCTAGTAAACAATTCTACAGAGTGAGCAGTATGTCAACAAAACATACTGAACCTATGTGGAACCCAGTTTTTTCATGGTTGTCGGACAGTGAATGTTTGGTTTAATATTTTTCATATTGCAGACACAAATGCAAAGCCACACTGTGCCTACTTTAAACTGCTATGCACATTGCATTAGGGGTTTCACGTGTGCTGCCAGCATGCCCTGCTGAGAAGGCATACATGTACATGTACCTGTGCCCTGCCATACACAGCAGTCGGTGAGGCTGGCCCAATACGGATCTCTTCCACATCATCATCGTCCACGGCCAGACTTCGTGAGATGGCGCCGAGAAAGTTGGAGAGGCCTTCCTTTATAGCACCTCCAGTTGCTGACTGCTCTCCCTTCATAGAACACACATCAACAGACATGTATACTTGACGTTGAACATTGGTCTTGGAAGATTTTATGATATGAAAGAAAACTTTATGATATTTCCTGGCTGTCATTCTAATACTAATTGGCTAGTCAGAACAAATTTCTAGTGGCTTTCAAGGCATCCCTAAAATGCATATACTAGAATGTATAAGTCATGTATGTATATGATGCAACAAAGCTTTAATGCACTTCTATCACTTCAAAAGTCAGGGAAGTTATTTGCATTACTATCCAAAGCACATCAACCAAGCCACCCCATCTGACATGCATTTAATGTCACATACCAGTTCTGATGGTAGAGAAATCTTGCGTTCCTGTTTGAAAAATCACAACTTTAGGACTTAACCTTCAAAGGTTAACAAATACCAGTTGCCGCCAGTTAGTAATGTTTTGCACCATTTAATCATTTATTTTAAAAGGGAAAAGCTCACAGGGTGCAAGAATTGAAACTGTGAGAAGTTCATAATGCATCATTCTTTGTTCCTTTCTGTTATTTTTTCCATTTATCTATAGAATAACAGTGTCTGTCCTGCAGGCTTCGAAAAGTTGCATAGAATAAGTCCAATGCATTTCATGGGTGCCACTATTGAAATTTCAAAACCAGAATCAGTGATTGAAATTAATATTGACACAATTTTTTGTTGAGGGACACCAAAATTTTAATGCACACTTTGCGTTCAAATGTGTGTTTTCTAAGGTGGGTATTACATTTATACAACACGGTGTATTCTACATCACCTTTGGGTTGGTACCTTGGGTGATACATAATACACATCAATTGATGGATATTATATCTGTCTTCTTGCTCTATTGCTAATTAAAAGCTATACTAAGTAGACTTTCTGTGCAGCTGTACTTACATGTAGCTTCCCCTTGACTGTGGATGCTGTGGAAGCCACAGCTGTAGCCGTGTCCTTCTGAACGACTGTGGAGAACTCAGTCAGGTCCCTCTTCATGAAGTCAAACACTTCACCTGACTAAAGATATACAGAAAGCAGTCAAATGTACTATTCAACCATAAAGTAGAGTAGAGTAGAGTCAATTAGGACATCCGTATAAATAACCATTGATTGGCCAGCTAAGAGCTGGAACTCACCAAGGATCAATTCAAACGAAGTTAGTTTTGATAGATTTTTTGAAAGATTCGAATCGGCCAGCTGGCCTTTGACATCACAAAAATATATCGCGGCACAGTGAGTCTAGCCTTTGGCGAGATGACTCAGTTCTAGGTTCCACAGTTCATGTACTGTATGGTTTAGAAAATGTTTGTGTCAATCATGCTGAATGTTATCACTGTATGATTTTATTCTGCACTTCAGACTGAGTCACCCAAAGAACTGTGTCGTCATCTGATTCAGTATGAAAATTCCGGTCTTACCTTATCTTTCGCTGCTTTGACCCAGCCGCTGAACCACGTGTCGCCTCCCCTGGTAAAACAAACCAATATTTTCATAATAAGACGGCATTCGGCAAATTCTAGGCAAGAGAATCGGCGGAAATACCAAGAAAGAAGCACCAAAACAACTCAGCAGATTACGTCAACTCACCCTTCCGCCATCTTGACTGGTCGTACTGCGCATGCGTGCCAACCTCTTACATTATTACTAACAGGTGCTGCGAGAAGTCAGACTCCATTTGATACTAAATACATGTATTACTAGCAAAGTAGCAAAAAAGAAATTCCTATGCACCATTACAAGAAAATTCCGATTATAGAATAAAAGTTGTTTATTCAGAGAATCACTGTTTCAAATATCTACTCTTCGAATTCATTTCTTTACATTTTTGTCTTTTTTCCTTTGATTTTGGCATTCTACGACATTGGTATCGTTTCTAAATGTTTTCCTTGCAACTTATGGTATATTTTTGCTCATTTAGCAACTGTTTTTGCACGATTTACAGTATGGTTGAAAACTTTTTTTTTTTTGGAAACGGCCGAAAATTCATGCGCGCGCGGATGTCATCCATATAATCAAATCAACATGGCCTTATGGCTAAAAAGTTCAAAGTTTAACTTTTCATTCTCCACACTGTAATGTTATGTTGAATAGTAATAGGCCAAAGATATTTGCAACGTATGCGTGCGATTCCAGATACCGAGCTTGTTATGCGACTTACTTACTAGATAAGTTTGAGTGAAATGAAATTCACAAAGGTTGATTGGTTGGAAGCGTATTAAAATCGTCAGGTGTTCCGTTGTGTGCGTTAAGCTGCTAGGGTAGTTACTTAAAGGTAAAAAAATCACTGATATGAAGAATTGAGTGGGTTCAAGTCGAACCGCAATGGCACTGGTTATATTGTCACAAATTTTATGAGAGGAGAATTGCACATATAAAGTATGTCGTCAAACATGTGGTTGAGTTCCCCTTTTCCTCACGCGATCAAATGACCTTTGTTGTATTAACGAAACTGTATACTTGTTCCAAGATGGCGGGGCGTGCTACACTAGAGACTGTCGAGTGGATCGACTACAGAGACTTTAGCCCTGAAGAGTTTCTTGAAGAGGCCAATGACTTTCCTCAGATGGTACAAATCAGCGAGGGTTTCTATGGCGACGGAGAGATGTGGAGTTTCTCCTCGGGACAGATCTTTAAAATCCACGGAGTGAAGACACAGGAGAAAGTGGTGACCACGGTAGAGGGAGGGCAGGACACACCCGGAAGTAAAGTTGACAAACTTCATATCCCCCTCAACTATGGGGGGCATTTTGAACTCCTACCGTCGGAACCATGTTCAGAAGGCGTAGACGTCGTCTACAACAGTGTTAAGGAGGTGGCTAAGAACTTTCCACGGTACGTCTGTGTTGATTCCGACATGTCCGTCACAAGCGACTTGGGAGGGGTTCGCCTGCACCGCGGAGACCAGTTAGAACTGTTACAAAACGCCAAGCGACCCACCAAGAACGGACTGAAGCCCTTTCTGAAGTGCCTTGTGAACAGTGAAAAGGAGTGCTTTCTGCCTCACGGGTGCCGGGGAAGATTTTTGGTGATTCCCGACGAGAATTCTTACACCATATCGGAGATAGTGAAAAGGTAGGTCCGATAACGCCGTTTCCTGTTGGGAAACAGTCAAGGATTTTATGTACGTACGGACATAACTAAACCTTTGCACAATATTAGGTATGTTATCCGCAGCCTATCTAGCCACAGTTGCCAAGTTACGGCTAGATGTCTCTCGACATGTCTTGCTTCCATATTACATGTACCATAGACACAAGGAGTGTAGCCTTGTATTTATTGCATGCCCTTTCGGAAAATGTTTAGCTATCACCTTAGGTCAGGCTATCAAGCCAGGCAACCAGACTATAGTCTCTTTCTGGACTCCGTTGGCATGCATGAGGTAAATATTGGAATTTCCTCGACACAATGAAACCTAGGACCTGCAGGATACTTGAGGGGAAATTAAGGGTTGCAAGTGGCAATCTCTTCCTGTTATGATTATGTAATGTGGCGGTCTTTTTGTTAACGAACCCAGAAGTCTTCTCTCCGTGGATCCAAGTTGGAATAAATAAGCCGTGAAAAAAAAAGAAAAAAAATAAAGCTGGGTAACTGTTGGGCATCCTAGCCTTCATTATTAGCCTTCCTGGTTTAAAAGTAGCGGAAGAGGAAGCACGGAAACTCTTTCCTGCTAAAGCTGAAATGTTTAGGGAAGTTTGGAGCTACATGTATTGCACAGATGATAAAATTGACATTATGTCAGCATGCAGCGTTTCAAAGAGCGTTTACCGTAAATTATAAGTTTTCGACAAAAAGTTTTCACTGTCTACAACTTTTCAGATTCCCCCTCCCCCGGCGTGTGCAGTTCTACGGTGGTTACATCAACTACTGCTCCCCAGAAGTGATGCAGTCACTGGGGTACTCGTTCGATGGTGTCCTGCGATTGGAGGGGACCACGTTGGAAAAGTACCTTGTCGCCACCACCCAGGGTCTGAGCAAAAAGTCCGAAAACAAGAAAGACCTCCTGGTTATGCCTGTCAAGGCGAAGGTACGTCAATAGAAAGGGAGGGGGTTCTAGATCTGTTGCAAGCTTTGCACCTTGCTAGTATACATAGCCCTAACTTATAATGTACGAGTAGAAGCAAATGGCAAAAGCTGCAAACTTTGTTTATTCTTACAGATCAAGTTTCTAGTCGCTAAGGGTCTGTTTGAGCGAAGCTCCGAGTACGAGACCGTATTGACAGCCTTCAGTCGTGACTTTGACGTAGACAGGATGTCAGAACATCCCTACATGACGTTTGAGTTCGCACCCCTGACGTACCCTGACGAGGAGGAGCCTCCGCCGCCCCTGAGTCGGGGCCTGAGCGAAGAGCCGCCCGCGCCTGGAGCGGAGGAAACCCCGCCGAATGTCGACCGCTCCAGTAAGCCAGAGAGCCTGGTGAGAGAGTTATCTACTCCAAGAGCATCAACATCTTCACAAGCTGAAACAGGTAAACATATTTTCGTGAGCCGGCCGTGCTACTGTTCCAGAGGATTGTCAGTGGTGTCATTTTACATATTGTTTACATTTCTATTTACCTCGACTATTCCACCTTACGCGTACATGTATATGCGGGCCTTTATAATGCTTTCATCATAAACCTTTCTATCTCGTCCCCAATCTTAGAGAACTACGATTATGACAGCGACGGGGAAGACTACGAGACCATATCTGACGACGACTATGATTGCGTGCCAGATAGCATCGGACCCGCTGGAAAAGGTTTGTAGGAAGAAGTGTTCACAGAGGAATCAATTCTTAGCTTTTTCCTACTGGGTGCCTCTACTACAGTTCCTGTAAAAAATTGATTCTCCTCTCATAGGCTAAAACAAAAGAAATACCTGGCCTTACATGCACATGGTCATGTGGTATATCATTATCACTCAATTAAGTACCCTGCTGGAAGCCAGGTTTTAATTTGGGAGCCCGGCAAAATAAATAGGCCGGCACTCAGACTAACAATCTTTCATCTCAACTTTGAGGAATTGAAACTTTCAAAAAACAAACGAGACTTTTGATAAAATTATACGACACAAGAAACATACAAATTTGATTATGAAATTGTTATGTTGGGCTCTTCATTTAAGTCCCCCCGTGATGTTTTCAATTGTCAGGTGGAACCAGGCCTGTCGTCCCACCAGAAGAGGGAGAGTACGAACTTATCGACGAAGACAGGTCAGCCATATTGTCATCTTAAAGACACCGATATAATTTCAAAACAAAAACGATTTTCTGGGTGAGGAAACCTGTGTGATAGACTGCCATTTCTTTGCACATTTTCTTTATCATCTCATACTTGAAACCTTGATGATTATATTACCGCCAAGGAATAGCTAAAACTAGCCTATGAGGGGCTTTTGTACGTTGACCTCTGTGCTGCCCTTACCTTCGGTTTACCCATTGTTTACCCAACAACGTCTGTGCTGTGTTTACGTTCAGAAGTCAGTGGATGAACTTTAACCCCCTTTGTTCTCAGTCGGTTAGCTTAGGAGACCGTTACAGTGATAACCATGAAAGAGGTCAGTCTACACCTTCACAGGATTTGGCGCGGGAACGGAACCGAAAAAGTCCTAAGAACATAAGCTTCTTGTTTTGATGACATTAAGTTGTGAATGTTTACATTCGCGGGATCACATGTCAACGCTATTTACTTTTATACACTAGTAGACGTTTGTACAGTCACATTGACCCTTACCGTACAGACTGGAGCCTATAGGGGTATGCAAACGTTTTTTACGCACGACGCAAATCGTGAAAGATGCATAAAGGGCACTGCACGCGACATTTACTCATACTCATAGACATGAAGAGCAATGCTTTGCATTTCTCTATCAGCGATTTGGATCGATGCCAACAAGGAAGCAAATTCCACAAGGGCCAAGTCTACATAGCAGGAAGGTGGAACGTGTGGTATTCATCATGTTTTCTCCACTTGTTTGATCTGCCACATTTTTGGCAGATCGGTTATAAACATCTAATTGGCAGGTCAGTTATGAAAAAATACTATTAGATTGATTGGTGGATAGCCTCTTTACAATACCCCCCACAAGCCGGTAGGGGCCCCAAAATACAATCAAGTCGGGGTCTCATCAAGACCTACCTACTTAAATCAACATATACAGCCCGTCTAAGCCTTCTCGAGTTGACACACACAAATACGCACACACAATCTTGACAACACATACACACACACACACACACACACACACACACACACACACACACACACACACACACACACACAAATACACACAAACGCTGCCAAAAACATTAACCTCATTGGAAATAAGAAATAAATAAACAAATGAAATGTTTCCCTCTCTTCTGAATCAGGGACGTGTCGCCTGATGGCGCTGCTGCTGCTGCCTCAAGACAGAAGACAGCCCAGGCCAAGGCCCAGCCCCAGCAGAACCCTTTTGCTGCCGAACTCAAAGGCCTGCTCGCCAAACGTGCACAACCCACCAAGACAACTCCTAGCAGCCAAGATCCAAATTTCAGCAAAGGAACTCCTTCTGAGCCATCCACGACACAAGCAGTGCGTCCTACGTTCGGAGCTCGAGGTCAATTGAAATCTCCAACATCAAAGCCGGCCACAGGCCTAACCAGCGCAGAAAAGGTAGGTCCCCTAACCTCCTCCCCCAAGCCCCGTCCTGCCAAACCTCCTGTTGCGCCGAGGCGAAAAATATCGTCTTCCTCAGATGAACCAGGACAACCGACCAGTCCCGGCCAGCCGCACAAGGCTGACCCCGTCCCAACGTTGCCAACTAAAGTGACGGGTCTAGTATCACCACTGAGGGCTGTGAAACCCGTGGTAACTGAAGACGAAGATAAGAATAAAGGGAGCGAACACATAAGTGTGATCCACAGTTCACAGAGGGAAACAGCAAGTCGGAAAAGAGAGGTACGTGCTTTATAACAAAATCACCATATTTACTTGTAAATATGTCAATCAGTATGTAAATAAATAAATATGAAAATAGTCTGCACTGCAAACTGCAAAACGGTGGAAGGGTACCGGTTCTTTGCTTGCTTCTATCTGTGGTTCTATTTAAACTAAGTATGTGTAGGTGACCCTTCCAAGCTCGTTGTACTTTTCTCGCCCAATAATTGCCCCCCCCCATTTTATTTTATCGAAAGTTGTTTGTTTTCTTGTTTTTTTTTGTCTGTTATGTGCAGATGTTCTCCAGCCTAAGTGATGTGCCTACAGAACTCTCCCAACTGTCTATCAAACAAGTCAGTCACTGTCTCCAACTGCTCAACATGGCCGAGTATGTGCCAAGGTAGGATAGTCTCATTCTATTAGCCTCTACCAGGCTCTCACAAAGCTCTCTGGCTGGCTTCTCTGTCTGAAAAGAGTAGACGACCAAATAGACAGATAACATGCCAGGGGAGTTGGTCCTCTAAAGGAATAATCCCTTGGTATGTCATTTGTCTATTTGGCCAAGTCTACTCTTTCTAACCACCTCTGAAGCCTGTTACAGGCTATAATTCTACTCATAAACATCTATTGTGATAGCCTGGGTTCCATCCTGGTTAGTTTACGTCCGCTCCCACAGTCGCTACCACCAACCTGACGAACTTATTAACGAATGGTTGATTGACATGGAGCCTTAATCACATGTAGGTTTGAGAGGGACCAGGTTGACGGGAACTTGATGTGTGACCTTGACCAAGAGATGCTGACTGAGATGGGCGTGTCACGTGTTCACAGCATGAAGCTCAAGAAGTTCATCAACGGATGGCGGCCAAATGCAGACAACTGAGTCTTGGTGACACTTGGATGTGTTAGAGATAGCATGACTTAGCTGACCCAGTGTAATGAGTCGTTTCATTTTCATTCATACAAATACAAAATGACAAAGCTTTTTGCTGAATAAATATAGTGTATCTTGATAATGTATCTTTATAAGAATGATTTTACGTCACATAAACGGACGCAGAACCAGACATCGTTCATGATTGATAAATTTTCTTCGTCAGTTTAACCTTTTGTTTGCCAATTACTTGGAAAACCTGAAAAAGGATTCTGCTGGGACACTGCTAGCCATACTCTATGGATCTCCAACAAAGAATGGTCCACTTTCATAATACCAATCCAGGGCAACGTAGTTACAATGGAGTTTCTATACACCCCATAAAAGTAGCCATGGGCTTGATGCCGATTATTGGACTTCTTGTCCTGTTGCTGCCTAGATTGTCAGTCCCAGTTGATTAGTTAGTTAATTTTTTGTTTAACAGAAACGTAACAGCTTTATCTATATATATACATCTTGTACTTTTATTCGGGAAATAGAGTTGTTAAAACATTCTCATTTATTGCGTACATTATAGTTAATTGACATGGATTAAATATTGACAAGTTGGAAAATCATGTCATCCCCATTTTCACACAGCGGGAACACATACTCATCAGATAGGCCAACAGTACCAGTCAACTATCTGATTTATAACTGAATTCATATGCATGGGTCGTGTCATTCGATCCAGATTACGGCGTTGTCTTAATAACCAGTTTGCCTGGTTATTGCATGTACTCTTAATGGTACTTTCACTATTTTCGACTGCAAAAGTCCTACAAACTTAAAAATTTCAAATAGAAGCGTAAATTGCCATGAATTGAGAGTGAATTTCAGTCTTCTAAAAAGCATTGCATTATAATTACAATATATGGTTCAAGCAACAACTTCTCTGATTTTCGCATCCTGTATTATATAGATCTATATCTTAAAGTAGCATAATGTCACGCCTCAGGCAAGGCAATAAAGTACAATATGTGCATATCTGGTTTGTGCTTTTTCCTAGTAGTACATGTATAGTTAGGCTACGCATGGCACAGCAATATTGGCGGGTAAGTTACACATTATGACCTGTTGTATCCAGAAGCGTGCCTTAGTAAATTAATTCAGACAGTAATGGATGGATCTATGGAGATGAAAGTACCGTCATAATGAATGAAATACATTTTATGCTCTATCATTGTGTCCTACGCTTTTTACATATATTAGGATACATTAGGAAGCAACCTAACTAAGCCCCCTTGAAGACTTCTTAAGACATCTATTATGTCATGACTCCTTTGAATGGATACAGGGAGGTTTCTGGAGGACCACTGAATTTGCCATATCATTATCATTCCATGACAATCTCATGCTTCTATCCTTTTGTTTATCCTTTCAATCATGAATTGAAATACAGTGTCATTTTGCAGATTAGGTATGCAGTAACCTACAGTTTTGCTTCTTGCTTCACTGTTAAACTTGCTCTTGGGATGTTTACGGTCTCCATCCCCGAATGAACTTCAGAATCTTCAGGGCGTCTAACTTGCGCAAGTTCATGTCCTGTGTCATGATGGTCTCATCCACGTCGTACAACAGAGCTCCGTCTATCCGCTCCCTCTCAAACGCCGCGATTACGTCATTTCCGAGGCCGAGGTGACGTAGGCATGCCGTCACTTCCGAGACGGATAGTGTCGACAAGTCGTCCGGCGGGACCCATGGTGACGGGTCTGCCGACTGTCCGTGTTCGTCTTTGCCCGGTGGATCCGTCATTGCCGGTGTCTCAAAGTAGATCTCGGTTACGTTATCGTAGTCAGAGTGTGTTTCTGAATCTTCTCCGACAGGGACTTGCTGAGACGCATGGCTCCCTTTTGTACCTTGCATGTAGCCAGTAGCTGACGGCTTGGGAAGCGTCGCTTGTACGGCTGGGCTCTTCGGGCTATCATAGGTTGGACTATCATCGTGACATTTCTGTTCATCAGGCGAGCGGCTGGGGACGTGAGGTGGTGACTGGTACTCCATCTCTCCTTTGTTTTCTCTTTGTTCGTCAGGTGCATCAGATGAGTGCGGAGGGAATTCATAATGTTCTTCCTCTTGCTCTGGTTCCTTGGGTAGCGCGAGGGGTATGTTGAGTGGTGTTTTGTAGGAAATGATTTCACTTTTTGTTTCCATCTGCTTGACCAAGTCTTTGACACTGAAGGACGCACGTTTCCCAGCGGCTGGGTGGTCTCCCTCGGGCGTTACATCATGTAACGTGTCGTACACGGTATTTTCGAAGGCGGCAAATGATGTGGGGCCTTCAACAGTCGACGTGGTGATTGGTTTCAGTGCGGTGTAAGTGCCACCCGTCAAATCGGTGTAATCATCACTCGTGTTTCGGTCGGATGTCGATGTCGCTGCTGTAGCTGAGCCCTTGGGTCTCGGCGGTACAGGCGGCCTGGTCTTCTTTGACTCTTGTGCCTTTTTCAACTCGCCCACAAACCCCACAGGCACCGCTGTTGGGGGCATTTTATTTCTCCGTGGTTTTATTTCAGGCTTTGCAACTTTATCTGTCGAATCATCCTTTTCTGTCGGTGGTTCGACAGGAGAGTAGTACCCAACACTATTGCCCTCTTCTATAGGCGGTGCTGATGGGACTACTGTCTTATGTAAGTCGGGATCCTGGTAGTCGGGAGTTTCCTCGTATATAGGGTTGGTTGGCGCAACTTGGGCGATGTCTCCTACGTTCGCGTATGAGTATGGGTATGTTGCAAGATCTGCGGGCTTGAACAGTTTGGTTCTGTCCTGGTATATAGAGGAGTACGGTTTACCCATAACGAGGATGAACGAATCCATGTTCTTGCTGTCCACGAGAACGCTCGTGCGAACGTTGGACTGAAACAGGCGCAGAATTTCCTTGTTCTCCGAGAGTTCCAGGTCGGCAGGACTGAACTGGATGTCTGTGTTGATAGAAAACTCGACCTGTGAAATTTGCCCGTCGTCTTGAACGGAGGTGCCCACGATCACTTCGTCCCTGTACGTGTGGAACAGCCTGACGTACCCCGTGAACTCGTCGTCCTCCCCAGGGCAGTCTCCGTGCACGAGTTTGACGTCCTGC